ACAGGAGAATCAAGCGGCATGAAGTGGAAATGTTGTAATTCTGGGTGAAAGATGAGTCCTGTAATGTGTACTTCGGTCAAAATTTTGACTTTGTGCGCCCGAATGGCGTCGCAGGATCAAAACCGTATTCGGGTTTTGCTTTCGTGCCATCGAGGTGGGCAAAAGAAAATCCAAAATATTGTATGATTCCAAGATATTATACATGTAGGGAGTAGTGTTTGTCCGCCTTACTTTTAAAAAATTAAAAAAAAAATGAATAAAAATCACTTTAATGTATATTTTAAAAATAAAATAATTTAATTTTTTTAATAAAAATTTATTGAAACAACGTAATTTTGAGATGATTTTCTTCTTAATTTTTAAGAGATAAGATTAATAGATATTATTTTCATATATATATATGTATTTTAAGATTTTTAAATCATCTTTGGTTCATTTTGACACTACTTTTTTTTAAAAATAATTTCAAAGATAAAATCCCACATTAACTTAATGCTTAAAAAATTAATTTTTTTATATGTTAAATTTATAAAATATATTATGATTATTATATTATATTATACAATTATAATTATAATATATTATTAAATAAATAAAACATATTATTAATTAAATATATACAACATCACATATAAATCTTTAAATAAAAAAATCAAATAATAATGAACCATGTTATAATCTTAGGGTTTTTTTAACCTATATCTTTATGATACTTATTAAGAATATCTTTTTTTATTATTATTATTTTTTATTTTTTATCTTAATTGTTCAATAAGAGATAATTATTTTTTATCCATTATCTTATTCCATCTATACGTCATATGTTATTCAAATTCAAAATTTTTTATTTTCAACAAAAAAAAATTATCACTAAGTTATTTAAGTTGTTAATAAGAATATTTTTTATTATAAATACATATAAAAATATAAAAATTAGTATTAATTTAGTATGAATGTAGAGTGATTGAATTTAATTAAAAAATTTGATAAATTAAATATTAATTTTTATTTTATTAATAAAAATTTATAAAAAAATATATTTAATACATTCTTAATTTATATATTAAAAACACAAATTAGACTAAGGGCCTGTTTGGTACAGCGGTTAAAATTCAGCGGATAGCGGATAGCGGGTAGCGAATAGCGATAATAGGTAGCGGGTGGCGGTTAGCGGGTGGCGGTTAGCGGATAGCGGATGGCGGATAATGGAAAGTGGGTAGTGGATGGTAAATAGCGGATTCGATAAATATAACTGTTTGGTTATACAATAGTTAACGGTTGTTGTTTAACATTAAATGACTAATAAGAACATGTTTAAAAACAAATAA